TTATTATTAGGCAAAAAAAATTTCAGGAACAATAATCAATAAATATCTAAAATTAAAGCATGTCAAAGTTGATTGGTTTAATGGTAAATTGATTTGCATACATTCTTTTTTTAAATAATCATTAACCTTTTCTAAATATTTAGGTTCACGTACACTCATTTCTATGCCAAATACACGTGTCGCTATTGTTTAAATCATTCTAATACGTGAACCTTATTAATATTCAATATTCTTCTAACTTTAAAAAAATTCAGAATATATTTAATCATATTACAATAATTTTTTTTAGTTCGCAATTATTTTAATTAAAAAAACAATGTATAAAGTGTTTTTCTTTTCTCTTAAACTATTTAAATTACTAGATAGTATTCATAGTCGAAAACAATCATGATAATCAGAAAATAATTGTATCAAAATGAATATGTCGAGTACGTGTTGAGACTTTATCTTTCAATGAATTATGCTTTGTTAATTCATCTATAAATATATATTAATGATAGATTTTAATTAAAAGATTTAAAAGAAATAAATTAGATGAATTATTCATTTTCAAATAATAATCAGATGATAGATAACAAGCAAGTCTATCAAAGATTATTTTCTTTCACATGAACTATAACTTTCATCGAGAACTTTGCCAAAGTGATGAACAACAGCTAATTAAACAATAAAAAAGAATACAAATTTGAATTTCGATGATCAAGAATCAAGGTATAGGTTTTTATTTACAATCAGATTCAATAGTAGTCCATTAGTAAGTCTTCAGATGAAATAAATTTTTCGATGCAATGCCATACAAACAGTAATATAAAGGATTGTCGGTATAATTTTAAATTGAAACGACTTTTTACCATAATAATTAACCAACTAGTTCTTTCAAAAAAAGTCTGTTATCGAAGTTCTACAAATACATACAACTTGAAAGTCCTATAACTCTTGAAGTTTCTAATAGTAACAAGATGTATTTCAGTCTTTCACGTTCCATATACTCTAATACTAAGAACAATGAAAGAATTCTTTTAAAGCTTGTCATATAGTAACTCTCAAGGATTGACAAATTTGATCTAAGGTCTTATTTGAAATTATTGCTTAACATAATTGAAAGACTTCTTGATTCGTGAATCTATAAAGTTCGGTATTATACTAGGCTTTATATTTTTAGATTTCCTAATATCTAGATAGTTTCACAGTTGTATAATGCTAATGGTTCGCATAACTATCGCAGTGGAACAGATTCTTTTCTAATATTTTTGCATCGAAAGGTCAGGAGTTTTTGATAGTCGGTTAAATGTAGTTCAGAAAGTGAGCTTGAGATTTTGAACCATCTAATGACTAGCTAACTTTTTGTGACCATAATCAATACATTCATTCCGATTTGTGACCACTATTGTACTATGATAAAGAGTGAGTTCAAAACTTAGAGCTAAGATTTTGATAAAAAGTAAAATAGACTATCTTCAGTATCCTTAAAATTGATAAAAAAACCGGTGACAACCAATCGGTTTTTAAAGTTCAACCGAAACATATGACACGACATGAAAATGAAATGTTATTGTACTGTGATACTAAATCTTACTTAATCCTTTACCTCCAGTACTCATCCAATAGCTTTAGTGTTGAGACAACCATTGGAATAGTTTCTACAAATGCTAATTATGACATCGATGTAGTTAAATTTAGGCCAAGTCATTTCAGTATGGAGATGCAGAATGGGTCCACAATGACTCATTCGTTTTGAATGACACAAAAATTGAATTTATTGTTAAATTGACTTTTTCGCAGTTATACTTCTATTTTAACTGTATAAAGTTGAAAACTTATTTATTATGAATTATTTTTTGAAAAATGAGTTATTTCAGAGGTTGATATATGATGAGATTCTCTATATAATATAGAATCATTAATTCTGATTCCAATTCGAAATCACTCATTCCTGTTGTTAAAGTCTCATCGAGAAGGAAGGCCATAACAGAGACTGCAAGTTTTTCTATCTTTTATCGTTCTAATAAAGTGTTTACCATGAAGATTATATTATTTTATGAGTTTATATTGAAGAAAATATAACTCGAGAAAAATCATTTTTTATGTTACTCATTACGAATGGATAAGAAAATGATCCAAATTGTCATGAAAAACATTGCTTTTACATCTATAATTAAGAAATTTTTAAAAACTATCCTGCAAATAGATTGTATTCATAGTATTCATTATGTACGAATCCCATAAATATCAGAATAATCAGTCTGTGTAACTAAATAAAACAGATTTTTTTCACTTTCTTGAGAAAATACCGTTTTTCAACTCATATATCTTAAGCAAGGAATGATGAAAAGAAGTTTAAATTTTTTTCGAATTTGTAGCTGATTAAAAACTTTGCACAATGTTCTGAAATCATTATATCGATTGAATGCTTTAATATTCCAAATAGATAATTTCTTGAATGGATCGAAAATATTCCAACAGGGAGTAAAGGATTAAAGTATTTGAATAATCTTCTTTACAATTTAAAAACTTTAATATTTAGTTAATCAACATCACATATTCTCTAATATGAAGAAATGTTTCACAAGAACAATACCTATATCATTTCTTTCGAACGTTTCATAACATAAAATATGTCTTTAACAATCATTTTGTTTTTGATTCGACTACATGCATTCATTTAGTCCTTTACAAAAATATTTTCGAATAATATATACAAGATTGGATATTGTTAGTGAACAAGTCTATATTCAATACCGATTGCATTTAACTTTGAGAAACAAAGAAAAATTTCAACAAAATGAATTCGTTTGATTGTGCTATTGCTTCAATTGGAAGATTTTTCATATAAATTTGTTCATTTAAACCCAATAGATTATAAAATGGATTTCTTGTTTGATAAAAATCACTCTAATTAAAAGATTAAGAAGACTTTCTAGAGATTTATTTCAAAACTTAAGATTTTTATTTATCCTTTGATAAAGCCATCTAAGGAATCAACGAAGCAAAAAACCAAATAACGATCATATACATATGTTGAAATTCGTTTTTTTTTGTCCTTATCGCTTTTCTAGAAAAAAACAAGACAAAAAAAGGTATTACTCTGCTAAATTTGTTTTGTTCTTTATTTAATTATGATCAAAGATTAGAGAACCCGACGACGACATTTAGCTGAACCACATTTGCAATCCATTCGACGGCCAGCTGTTTTATCTACTGTATAATAATAATCCCAACTAAAAATGAATGAGCAAAAACAGTCAATTCATGGAAAAAAATCTTCATCGTATGTCTAATTAATAAAGAAGGCAACAATGGTAATACGTAAATAAAACTAATGCAAAATTGATCGATCTTTTCAAATAAAAAATTGAAGTGTTTTCGATTTTTGGTATGTTTTAACAAGAAAGCAAATAATTCTATGTAAGAATTATATATCTTCTTTTTTCAACGCTTGAGGGTGTGGGTGTGGGTTACAGTGGACAAAAAAAATGGGCAGGAACAATTCCGAGGTATTGAATAGCTTTTGAGTCGAGACTATGTCCATTATGTAGCCTCTAGTGAGCTATGAACACCCTGAAAAAAGTTCGTGCTTCTAGCTTATTTCTATCGAGATATTTGATTTTTACGGCATTTTTCACCACCACGCTGTGGTTCCTCTCAGATTTACGTGAAAAATCAACTTTCGAATTTCCATTTGAAACTTTGCCCAGAAAAAGATCTCAATGGAACTAGTTTATTCTGAGAGTTTCAGATTTTTGGCTTCTTTCTATTCTGACATACAAGGAATTTAAAACTTTCAGAATAAACTAGTCGCATTGAGACCTTTCTCTGAAAAAAGTTTCAAATTGAAATTCGAAAGTTCATTTTCCAGGTGAACCTTAGGGGCACCACGGCGTTGTGCCACAAGATACTGTAAAAAATCAAATATTTCAACAAGAGTTTAAGTGCGCATTCGTTGAAGATAGATGATGATATGCTCTATCGAATAATATACTAAAACTTGAATTTAAGCTCCTGCAAAATTCCGCAAACGAACTACATTATGAACTAAGGACTATTTTTCACTATGGCGATGTGAAGTTTTTGACCTTATTATAGTCTAAATAACTTCAAGAGGCCCGAAACGACCAGTAATATATAGTAACCATAGTAGCTTCAATGTTAACTACGATATGGGTTCGAATCTGGGAAATCGATTTTGTCGCCTGGGTGTCCACTGTGTTGGTGTGGGTTGTGAGGTGCGGATCTTCTTCAACATCTACACGCACACAGACCCACACAAACTGAAACACCGACACCCACACCCAATGAGCTAATTAAAACTGCCCTCGGATTCGCATTTTCCACCCTTAATTATCTTTGGTCAAGTTTTCTAGATAAATATTAATAATTAATTAAAAGTAACATCATATTTGAACTCTCCGCCCCCAATTACCTTTGTTCAAGTTTTATGGGAACTAAAACCTTTTGTTTTTACATTATTCTTGGACCAATCAGTGAAGTGCAGACACACAAGCAAGCAAACAATTTATTCTTGCTAGACTCTTCTCTACGAGAAAGAGAATCAAGTTCGATTGATTCTTGTTCAAGAAATTCTCTGCTCAACTTGGACAAAGTATGGTCAATTTTAGCTGAATAACCTATATAATTATTCAGAGGACTAAATGTTATAAAATCGAAATTAGATGAATAAAATAAAATAATACACAAAATACAATGACATACATATATAAACAAACATATTTCGATTTGAAAAATAAATGTTTGATTCTATTTCAATTTCCATCATTGCAATAGAGAGACATTGGTTTAGAACAAAACATCAAGTAATCATCGTACGAACTGATAAAACTATTCTTTTTTATTTTTATTTTTTTTTACATGGCATAATAAATGGAACTAATAAATAATCTATGTGAAGAAAATAATAAGAAAAAGACAATGCTTAAGTTTTCTATCCTTCTTCTTTGGTTTTGTTGTAACACTACTTCTTGTTGACCATTTGAAATTTTCTTTTAAGCTTGTTTACGTGTACTTGTAAAACTAAAATCTTCCACTGTCTCATTATATAAAACAGAATAATCAATATCCTTTCCATTTAAATCAATTGATTTATCTTCACTTTCATCCGATGGATGATGACTTATAAAACTTGGTTTTCTTGATGTTTGAGATATT